TCGTCTCGGGAAACAGCTACCTGACCCCGTTTTATACGGGGGTCTACGGGGAATTTTTGGCCGAGCCTACGATGCCCCACATTAAACTCAGCCTTGTGCTACATCCTACCTCGTGGGGAGGCTGGTAAATATCAACAGTCGAATAGATTGAACGCTGGGTCAACTGATACACACTCACTAGTCGTGTAATAATCTTCTGTTGTACTTACTGTTTAATATATGATATATCTGCAACACTTGTTTTGTTATTTCTTTAAACCATTTACTTGGTCACAGCACATAATCAGTGTACAGGGCTTTGCGAACGTCACTTTGTTGTGATGATTCCTTCTAGCTCAATAACAATAATGAAAATAATAACATTTCAAAACAACAATTCCCATTGTGATCGGCAGTTTAGAAACTATTCCCCAAAGCATGCAAGCATAGATTTTCTTTCTTTGGGTGAAACACATTAATCGGAACTTCTCAAAATATTATTAATTTGACTTTTTCTTCTATAAATTCTCTGCTTGATTTTTTAAAAATTCTTAAAGTTTTCACTCAAGTTTCTAAATTTTAAATGTTTAAAGAATATATTTAACTTTTCAGCAATGCCTAAACAAATATTTGGCCTGGCGTTACATCAATATATTTGGAGATTCTTAATAAAATCCAAAGAAGAAACAGCAAAATTATTCGTCTTGACCTGGCATCTCGGCTTCAGTCACTTTCCAAACGCCTTGTCTTTTCTATAAATGCTTTTATGGTAATTGTTCTGATGAGCTCTTCGCTCTGGTATCTGTATTTATATTGTAAATACTCATTGGGGATAGTTTTTAAGTTGTTGTTTTATTCGCCTCCCTCCACAGACAATTAATTGTACATATGGGGATTAGTTAGGATTTTCATAGAGACATTTCGGTATTATGGCGGATCTGGTGAGGAATGTAAGTAAGAATGCGTTGTTTTTGGTGTAAGGATTATTGTTGTATGTTTGAAGAGCGTCTTTTTTTTCCCCATTTTGGCCTTGTGCCACATTTTGTAAATAAATTACAAATAAATATCGCTCTATGCTATGGTAACCTGACTTTATGAATTTTAGCGTAGATTGGCGACGTAGTCTCATCAAATCCCAGTTGAATTGGCTCGATGTAACCATAATTTCTATGCTCACGGTTTATTTTCTCGAACTTCTCGCTTGTGGAACTGTCTTCCAGTTTTATGTTTTCCAGCCAACTTTCATCTTCAAAAATTTAAATGCAATGCCAATCATTATCTACTGTCTTCTATTGTCCCTCTTCGTCATAATATTTTCTGTTTTCTAATTCTTTCACACTCAGTAACCCCTTGTGTCTTAGTGACTTTATTGCCTTGTTTGGGGTGAGTTTGACTTTTTTAAAAATCACAACTTTAATTATTTTTTACAAAATTACTTTTAACTGAATACTGAAATTGCTTTTTATTTGATTTTAACCCTTTTTGAGATTGTTGTTTTTGTCTCTACATTCACACATCTTAAGCCCCCCTCCCCACCAAATGCTATCAGTTATTAAATGTAGACTTGCTGTCGCTTAAGGTTTAAGATTGAAACTTCGCAAAGCAGATGCTACTACTACTAATAATAATAACTGGAAATAGACGTGAAAATTTTACGGTTTTGCTATTTGAATTTTGTCATGAATAATAATTCTTAGGTTAGTGATTTGAATAAGCTTCTTAATAGATCTGTAACTCCATGACATTGTTAAATTTTTGAGCTTAACGACTTTAATAAAATATTGCAATAAAAATAAGGAATATGAGATCATTGTTTGAAGATGTAAGAAGATAAAATATTAAAAATTGACAGGTTTTTTCCAGACATTAAACACATCACAACTTTGTTGTCTCCTCCATATTTTTTACGTACATGCTAACTAAGGAAAAACAGAATTAGGATAATTGTGAGTGCATCGGTGGCATTTTTTCTTTCTTTCTTTCTTTCTTTCTTTCTTTCTTTCTTTCTTTCTTTCTTTCTTACACTAAACTGAAATAGTATCTTTGATATTTTTATGTCTTTCCTCGCGATCAAAACTGAATAGTTTATTATTTATACGTTATTGGCAGGGCGTAACGTTCGTGCTAGGTAACTAACAAACTAAGCAAAAAAAAAAAAAAAAAAGAAAGCAGAATTGTGATAACTGATAATACGCAGCTGGCAGCGCTGATTAGAACAGCTCATATATTGAGGAATGTGTTGTGACTCTGAGCTTTGATATGATCGTCACCATCCGGCCGAAACATCTAACAGTTGGAAAAGATATCTAATAATAATAATAATAATAATGCTAGTTAAGAGATCGTTTTTAAATGTGTGCATGGAATAAGTATTGAATTAAAGGTCTGTAAAGAGTGAAAGAAAATGACAAAATGTTAGTGTGGAGAAAGGACAATAAAAGAACGGTTTAGAAAAGAAAGATGATTACGATTGACGCTGCATTTAAATTTTTGACGATCGTATGCGGTACGGATGCAAGAAAAACGGAAGAGATTTGAACAGGCGACAAGCGAGAGAAACGAACGTAAAGTTACATCTTGTTTTTTTTTTATTTTTTAACAGTAAAACGATGAGACCTAATAGCCAATCCAGTAGTGCGCTTAAATTCACGCGGTACTAAGGAGAAAACTCATTAGAACAATTACCAAGAAAAAATTATAGAAAAGACACAGAAAAGCCACATCACGGTGGTGGGAAAGAGACTGAAGTCGAGATTACATAATAATAATAATAATAATAATAATAATAATAATGATAATAATAATAATCATAATGATAATAATGATAATAATAATAATGATAATGATACTAATAATAGTGATAATAATAACAATAATAATAATAATAATAACGAAATCTCAAAAATGTGGCACATGGGAACATCAACAATCCCTGTTGTAGTTTGAGTCCTAGGATTGGTAGGAAAAGATTCCAGTAGACTAATTGAAGGGATTCCTGGAAGTCCATGCCTCAAAGAGATACAAAAAATTGTTCTCACGAGTACAGCTCACACCTTACAAAGGGCTTTATCTATATAATTTTTTTTTTTCCAGTGGAATATGTCACGATGCCATTTCTAACCTTTGGTCCCTGGGCGGGACCCGGAAAGAAATGAGTACACACCAGAAATCAAAGGAAAAAAAATAAAGATGATAATAATAATGAGAGCCATATTATTATAGTTTAAGAATTATAATATAATTGATAAATTGTATTTAAAAAGGGTCTGTTTCCATTAATAAAATGACGGGAAACAGCAATACATGGAAATAACAAAAATCTTATCCTACATTGTCCGTCAGGCGGTTTACCAAGGGTCGCATCATCAAGGGCGAAAGTAGCCTCGGTTTGAAAAATATCTTATTTGTATTGTTTCTCGAAACAATAAAAATGAACATCGTTAGTGGATCATTCGAAATGATGGCTTACCTCAACCGACACCAACTAATAACAAGAGAAACTATTTTATTATATTTTGTTATTTATATATATATATATATATATATATATATATATATATATATATATATATGACGAGTTGTATTTTTGAGAATATCTTCTACCACTCAACACGCATATCTTGCCAGTAAAGATAAAAAGAATCCATCAGAATAATTAATGAAACTAACGAACGTGACATTGTACATTGGTCGTCACGCCGTTTACCAAGGGTCGTAGCATCAAGGACGAAAGTAGCCTCGGTTTGAAAAATATGCTACTGGTACTGTTTTTCTCAATAATGAGAATGGACACCATCAGGTGGGTTTCCTTAACCAACAGTAAATAATGATCAAAAGAAAGAAAGAAAAGAGTAAAATCGACCAAAGAGGATTATAAGTGTCCTGTGCAAACACATTACTGCGATGTACTCAAAATATTATGTTAATGAGTACTGATCATATACATAGAAAACACTTTCAAGTCAATATGTTCGATAATTTTCTAATTTGATTTGATTGGGTTTTTACGGTATATCAACACTTCGTAGGTTTTGTTTAAAACCAGGAAGTATTTTTCGATTGAAAGATTTTTTTTGAGATAATAATTGTTTTGCGATACAAGTCTTACTGATGAAATAATAATAATAATAATAATAATAATAATAATAATAAAAAAAGAATACGAAGAAGAAGAAGAAGAAGAAGAAGAAGAAGAAGAAGAAGAAGAAGAAGAATAGATACTAATAAACTATCGAATGTTAAAAGAAATATTATTAAAGAAAACGAGTGAGGGATGTTGAACTCGAAGAGAATGTTAAAACTGAATGGAATAATGAATTTAAAGAATATTAGAATTCGAAAATGAACGCGTTGTAAGAATACAATTTGATATACTAAATAATAATGAAACTGAAACTCTAATATAGAAAACAAGTGAAAATAGACCAGAAAAGACCAGGAAAAAAATCAGTTAATTAATGAGAAGAAAAAAAAATACTATATAAACCAGAAAGAATTTGAGGAAATGAAAACAAATATAATTAGAGAAACAGCAAAAACACAACAAATGGAAAAGAGAGAAAAATTAGACAAAATATGAAATGTGAGAGAACGAAAAACATTATTAATAAAAGCAGATAAAATAATTAAAGAAATAGTAAAAACAAAAAACAATTTGTTTGAATTGAAAGACCCTAAATGAAATAATAAACTCAGCCTCAGTCATCATAACATCAATGTAAAAACGTAGGAAAATATTTCTTAACCCAAGAAATGAACGGCCATCAGAATTCTGGCAAAGAGTTGATATAGAAAGAAATTGAAGTACTCCGGGTAAATCTTTCAATATTCGATGAAGTATTAAAAAGAATTTAAACTGAAATAGCAGGAAATTAGTCAAAATGAGACATAAATAAAATAGAAAAGATGAAAATGACTTAGCAATTGTAAAAGATGACCTAAAACAACTAAAAGCACAATGAAAGTGAAGAAAAACAAATTTATAAACAAAACAATATTTTCAAAAGTTGAAAGGAAAAATTCTATCGGGAAAAGACGAAATCAACGAAGCCTACAGGAAGAAAATAGGAATTAAATGAAGAGAGTTCTGGAATGATATGAGGATAGGTAAAGAATTCAACGTGTAGCGTAGAATGGATTAAGAACTCCAGACAGAAAGAGAGACAGACAGACAGACAGAGAGACAGAGAGACAGAGAGACAGAAAGATAGAAAGACAGCCAGAGAGACAGAGAGAGAGAGAGACAGACAACAGAGAGCAAGACAAACAGACAGAAAGAGAGAGAGACAGAGAGAGATAGACAACAGAGAGAAAGAGAGACAGACAGAAAGAGAGACAGACAGAGGGAGAGAGAGACAGACAGACATATAGACAACACAGAGAGAGAAAGACAGACAGATAGACATACAGGCAGAGAGATAGACAGACAGACAGACAGAGAGAGAGAGAGAGAGAGAGAGAGAGAGAGACAGACACATGAAGAAAGAATGGAACAACACAGACGGTAAAAATTAAAGAAAATAAAACATAGAAATCCCCAGTCATAGAGAAAATACAAAACTTTGGGTTAATTTTTTTACATTATCGTTCACGATATACAAGGCCTAAGAGTCACTCTGGGTAGAGAATTCTTAGATGTGGTCGTTTTACGGCGTAAGAGAAACGATTAAGCTGTTTTTGATTATGAAGTTATGTGGGTTTAGATAACAGTTGACATTAAGAGGTTAATATTGTAGCGATTAAAGAAGTATCCGCTCGGGAGACTGAATGAGGTCGTTCTATGAGTGTAAGAGCAGGAGGTAAGATGTACAGATGATGAGAATATTTGGTTAGATAACGGCTGACCATCGACTTGAGGTTAAGCTTGTAGCGATTGTGAAAGTATCCTCACGGGAGTCTGAATGAGGTTCTTGTATAAACGCAAGAGGAAGAGGAGGTTAGAAGTGCAGATGATGTAGATTAGATAGCGGTTGACCTTAGAGTTACGGTTAAGATTATAGCGATTGTGAAAGTATCCTCGTGGGAGTCTGAATGAGGTCATTATTTGAACGTAAGAGAAGTAAGTAAGAAGTGCAGATGACGAGGATATGTAGGATAGATAAAGATTGACCCTAGACTTGAAGAGGTTAAGAGGGAAACATCTACTGATTAGTCACCCCCGCCCGGCCTCGCCAAAGCAGAGGCTGTTCAAAAGAAGCTGTCCGAATGGAATTGCCTTCTTCTCAATGCAATATGAAAAGGAATGCCGATGATTCGCGATCCGATGTACATGGCCTGGCAGGTCTTAGCTGTAAATGTCTGGCGGAACTAAAGATTGTTGTTCATCAGAGTATTTTCCATGACAAGGTTGGAAATTGAGGATACGGTAACTTCAATCTACATATGGCTGTAACACTCCATTTTTTAGTCTGATCTGTCACTTGTAAAGACAGATTTCAATGATGTACAATCAATTAACAGAACTGATTTCTAATGATATCATTAACTCAGAACAAAACTCATGATACCTAAAGAAATGTATTACTTATTTAATACCCCAAACTGATGTCCTCTTTTGCCCAAAGGATTTACTGACCAATCACATGTTTAACAATTAGAGACAAAACACTTATATCGATTTTAAGTGAAATAATAAATTGGTTCTTTGGAACTAATATCATTATGCCTAAAGAGCAGAAAAGATACAAGAATGGTTCTCAGTTCTGATAACTGAAATGTCGTTGAAAAAAATAAGAACTTTAGCAATACAAGAGTTTCCGATAAAAAGGTTTTGATAATCTTTCACATGATTGGATCATGAAGTGACAAGAATTGATGAATATTTTGATTTGCTTTTTAAGGCTTTTTTTTAAGGTTAAAGTATTTTAAAGCTTACAGTATCCGGGGTTCCCAAGCAGATCCCGTCCAATGTATGTCGAGACCAGGTTCGACATTGCTTAACTTCGGAACATTTCCCAAACTCTTTACTCAAATAAAAAAAATGATATTCTCTTTCAATACTCAAGCACCTTAATGTTTAACTTAGATGCTTAGATATTAGGTACTAACCAGGCTCTACATTGCTTAACTTCGGTGATCATAAGAGAACTGCTGTTTCAGTGTAATATATGGCCGTAAAACTTATAATTATCACTAAGTACACACACACACACACACACACACACACACACACACACACACACACACACACATACACATATATATATATATATGTTTAAAATACGTAGGTAAATAATCCAAGTGAATCCTAATAATATAAAATATTAAAACTGATCCACAAAGAGAGCTCAATGTATTTATTATAACAGAGCATATATAAATAAATAAATAACATATAGTAGAAATTAAAAAAATACACGATACGTATAGCTATTTCACCCCGCAAGAACTATCCTACAGGATTTGTTGATACCAAGGAGTTATGAAATTTTCTTAACTCCTTGGTGTCAACAAATCCTGACTTATGAGGTATTTTTGAATTTTTCATATATATATATATATATATATATATATATATATATATATATATAGTGTAATCCGGATATAAGAGACCCGGATATAAGAGAAACCCGAATATAAGAGAGATTTTCTCTGGTCCCAAATTAGAGCCTGTGTTACTGTATATAAAATAGACCAAACCCGGATATAAGAGAAACCCAGATATAAGAGACTTCTCTGGTCCCGGCAACTCTCTTATATCCGGGTTACACAGTATATACTTGAATAGATTAAATTTGTAATGATCGAGGAAGGACCGTCTTGGTAGATGGTTCCACAAAGCAGAGATACGTGGACAGAAGCTGCTTGTGTGGAAATTACATCTCGCCAAAGAAATTCAGAACTATTGAGTGTTGTCCTTTACAATGGGCGTGAAATGTCGGATCTTAGTCGTGAAGCTTAGGACTTGTTATTACTACTATTCACTCATTGCTCGTGCGTTCCTGGGGTAAATGGTAACTGAAGGTGAAGATTAACTGGTGGAACACTCCTCAATATACCTGCCCTGATTCTTCCAGATTTTAACAATAATGATATCGCTTGGATTGTCTTGATTACCTTCCCTTTTTTTTTTGCCAATCTTCAGGTCTTTTCGTTGCACTCCTATAAAGACTGAAACGACTGTCGCATTCATATTTCTCGATTTTCAGTTGTTTATCTTCTCAAATCACTACCGATTTACTCTTTGGTCTGCAGAAACGGAAATCCACATTCTAACACTCTTATTATTATTTCTGTATGTTATATTTACTGCTTTGTATCCTGTTGAGCCGAGTCCAAACTATAGTCCTTAGGCCCTATAGGAGATTTGTCATTTAATTGATAGCACTTTCCTTTGTATATGGGATGTTCCAACTGAGGCGATTTTCTGGCCAACTTGTATGTCGATGTTACCTGGGACACTGTTAGTAAAATTGCCCATTCCTTTACTCACGAGGCCCAGTGCTCCGATTACTATTAGTACAGTCGCAGTCTTCAGTCCCCACATTCTGTTAATCTCAATCTGCAGGTCCCTGTATTTGGAAAAAAATCTCGATTATAATTATTATTATTATCATTATTAAACATCTTAATGTTTAATAAATATTGAACTGGAATGATTTTAAGTCTTTCGATTGCCAAAACGTTTATTCTTTTAATAATTTCAGCTTTTTTCCTTATACTTACTCGTATTATAATGACAAAATTTCTATTAAATTTAATGTAAATGTATTCCCGTATTTTTTATGTTAATACTAAAAATTGAATTTTTCCTTCATCTGCGATTATTATTATGATTTTAAAACATTTCTGTTTTACCTGCATTCATTTTATACCGGGTCACAACCAATAAGACAAGCGAAGGATGTGATTGTTTTGTTGTTTCCACTTAAACAAAATACAGCAATTAACAAAAACCTTAGATAGACGTAGTTATAAGGTTATAAACTGTTCTTATTAAAATCATTTTTATGGACTTCCTAGGGAGATTGTGCACCAGGGATTTTGTCGCTATATTTTGAGTTCCTTTCTTTTTTCAGACCCAGAGCTCCAACTACAACAAAAACAGATTCATTCTATTTCCAGTCTTTGTATTTGCTTAGTTTTTACAAAAATCCTCGCAGAGATGTTTTTGTCACTTGGCAAATCCAAGCCAATCGGTATGCAAACGTTTTATTTTCTGTCTTTCATAATAATATTTGGGCGATTTGCTTGCAGTGGTCGATTCCTGTCGATAGAAAAATCTCAGAGGATGATAAGATAAGATCTCTACAGATTCAGGAAGATGTTCATACCAGTTCGAAGCTGTTTATTTTTTATCCCAGAGTGATGAGAAACCTTTCAATCTATCATAGTATTTTTTGTACTCAATGGATGTGAGTATTGAATATCCTGAGATGAGGTTACCAATAGTTTCAATGTATTAGTAAAAGAAATAACATGTTGTGTCCGTACTGTTAAGCAAGGTATCAACTTAGTAGTTACGTGCAAGCAGGCTTTGGCCCTGTCTAGCTAGAATACCCACTTTAGTCTCACCCTTACGTCTTGAGCAGCTCAACCATTGGTGGGTTGCCAATTTATCTACATCAGCATTATTTCAGTGGAGAAGAAACTATCTACGTTGAGTCTTTTTCCATCCATATTTCTTCCATTCGCTTTTAGTCTATCTTTTTCACTTGCTTTATTTTCGCTTCTTCTTCTTCTACTTCTTCTTCTTCTTCTTCTTCTTCTTTTCCTCTTCTTCTTTTTCTTCTTTTTTTATTTTTTCCTTTTCTTCTTTTTATTATTTTCTTTTTATTCTTTTTATTTGTTTTCTTTTTCTTTTTATTCTTTTTTAATCGTTATTCTTCTTCCTTTTCTTCTTTTTCTTTCCTTTTCTTCTTTTTCTTTCCTTTTTGTCTTTTTTTTCCTTTTTCTTCTACTTTCCTTCTTTTTCTCCTTCTTCTTTTTACTTCTTCTCTTTATTCTTTTTCTTCTTTTTATTTTCTTCTTATTCCTTTTCTCCTCCTTTTCTTCTTCTTCTTCTTCTTCTTCTTCTTCTTCTTCTTCTTCTCCTCCTCCTAAACATTATTATTATTATTATTATTATTATTATTTTATTCTAATTTTTCCCATTAGTCTACTATACCTACCTATCTATATTTATAGATAAAAGTGCTCAATATCACAGACAGAGCGCATATAAATATAAAATATAAAAGTGGATCAACACCAAGATGCGACAGTCTGTTTCATGCTTGAGCCTATTCTTCAGGACATCTCAAGCCTGAAGATTGCGTTTAATCATTGAAAACACTGCCGTCGCTTGGTGTTGTCCTCAGTGTCCACTTTATATATAACTCTAGTCAAGATAAAAATTGAAATGGTGTCGAGACTCCAAACATCTTTTTTAGCTAATTTAAAGGCGCTGAATCTGAAAATGACTTTTTCTTGGTTAGTTGCAGTTTTTGCTCTACAGAAATGCCTTTTTTTAAAGCATTTTTTTTCATTTGTTTTCTGT